CGATACAGCTCGCCATTTAAATATAGCTTCCCCACATGCAGCCCCCCCCCCTTCTCTCCCTCACCGCACTCTAAACCCCCCTCAGTCTATGACGCCCCGTGACGCAATGCAAGAGCCGCAAATACGCGCGAAAGTGAAGGTGATTGACCTTGCAGACCACTTCAGGGGTAAAGGGGGCGGGGGCCACTTGCATCTCTCGAGAGGGTGTAAAAATAGAGAGCGAACACACAGCGGCGGCTCACACGACGATACGCCCGCGGTGCTGTGTGTGCGTCAAAATATGCACGCACAGCTCCTCCTCCACCAATTGTATGCCCGGCGCTTCAACACATGTGTCACACATAGAAAGAGCTGCGTTTGCGAGACACGTGCCTCGTGCACGTTTCAAATACAATAACGGCTGTAATGGTTTTTTAATGTGTTCGCAAACCATTTGTGCATGAAATTGTAAGCAAAGAGCAGAATAATTATGATAGACCAAGCTCTCTCATTTTCCTTACAAAGGACCTAACGATCCTAGGCAAGGCAGAGCGTCCTAATGGGTGGCGTGCCAACAGCGATAGAGGAGGTGGAGATTAAAGCGAGTCTCATAGAGAAGCAGGCGGTGCAAAAAGGACCCGGCTGCTTACCGTGGGAGTCCAATGCGGATCCGCGTCGACGGCTGTGGGGGGGCCGAGTGCGACGACCCGAGCCGATCCGGGCGATCAGAGGCGACGCGTCAGGCGGGGTACATAGGGAGACCTGCGGGAGCAACACAAAGACGGTCATCAAGGGCCGGCAGAAGCAAAAGGACGACATCGGGTGGGGGGCAGGGCAGGGCAGGAGGTTATTGGAATCGGCGCCGTCATCGCCGACCCGCGGACACCAAACACACCGCAGCGTCCCCCACACCCACTTTCTCTTTTATCTGTCCCGATTGCCCCGCGTCCGCGAGCCGGGACGCCGATCGGAGCAAGAGCAAAAATGGGAGCCGAACTCGACAAGCAGTCTGTCTTGTTCGACAGAGGAGACCAAGCCGTCAGAGAGAGGGGGGATGCTAAAAAGAAAGGCCTTCGTTGTTATCACACTAAATTTGCCTGAGCATCTCGTCAAGGCGGCGACCAGTCGAGGGGTCGACCACTGAAATTTTTGGTGCACATATGAAATATTTCTGGAAAACCCAGGAAAACCTGGACAGTTTTGATTTTTAGCAGATAATACGCAGTTATCGTCAGCTTGTACTCTCGTAAAGTTCGCCAGTTAAAGCGTAAAGTTCGCACGTTAAAGCCGCGTAAAGTTCGTCAGTTAAAGTGAGCAGCTTTCTTTTTTTTTCAATATCTAGAATATTTTGGAATATTTTTCAGTGTGTACATGGAATATTCAAGTGGTCCACCCCGACCAGTTTTCCTCGTGCGCACGACAAAGGCAGCGCGAGGTAGAGCAGGCGCACCGCACAGGGCAGGGGCGGGGTAGGCCAGCCGCCGCGGGCGCGTGCCGGGCGGGCCGGGGAGGGAGGGCCGCGGCTCCACGGGGCGCTCCAGCGGCCCAGCGGTGGAGCTGGCGAGGCGAGCCCGAGGGGTGGGAAAAGAAAAAGGTTTCCGCTACCAAAGCGGCCGGACAAGACGCGCAAGGGGGCGTATAGCAGCGGGAGCGGGCAAAGGGAACACAAAAGCGGAGAGATTAGCGCTATAGGGACGCGGGGGCGCGCACAAGAGGCAGGGCAAGGGCCGAGGGGGTTTCACCTTGTGTATAGCCTGTAAACCTGACCTGGGTATTACACGGTATTACGCACAATGTAATACCGGAAAAATCAAAATGCGTTAAAATTGTAGTTTTTTACATGTAACACCGGCGTAATACCGCGTAATACAGTGTAATACGGAGTACTCTGTACACTTTTTTTTTTGGAGTAGGACCCCCCTCGGCAAGGGCAAGGGCAGGGCGGAGAGGGCACCGTGAACAGCCCCCCGGAGATGTTGCCGGGCCGAGAGCCTCGCGCCACACAGGGGGGCGGACAAAAGTACGATTAGAATAGGCGCTCAGAAAAAAATGTATACACAAGAGATTATATTGTGTGGAGATAGGAGCGAAAAGGGAGCGAACGACGAGGGTGGCGGGCAGCGGTGTGCGCGGGCAGCGGTGTGCGCGGGCAGCGGTGTGCGCGGGCAGTCGCCATACCCTCGGGGGTGGCGGGAGCCCTAGGCCCGCCGCATAGGGGTTCCGGACGTGTCCGCAAACATCCTCTTGTTAATATCTTCCGCTAACCGGGCCCCTCGGGCCTCTGCGCGGCCAGGGCAGAGCAGGCCGATCAGACGGCCTAATGGCCAAACCGGATGTCATCCCCGCGAGGGCCGCGGGCCAGGCGCCCGGGCGATACACTATTTCGACAGGGTACTCGTCCACAACCCCGCGGCCGCGAGCGGCATGCACACAGGGGCCCGGCCCGGCCACGCAGCGCAGCCCAACAGGTATGCAAATAAAGAAGAAGAAGAAAAACCCGCGCGGGCGCCGCATCGCGTGAACCAGAGAGGCTGCGGTGGCTGGTCCAGCAGGAGCGACGACTGCTTCCAGCGAGAGAGGGGGGAGTGCAGAGCGAGAGGGAGCCCGAGAGTTGACAGAAAAAGGGAGCTAGAGAAGAGAGAGAGAGCGCGCGATTGGGGCGTTTGGGTAGAGAGGCAGACGAATTTGACAAACAAAAGCCTAACAAACACGGAATGGTCCAGAGCACACTCTTCGTTGACCACAGAGGGTGGAGGGTGATGGAATGTTTCGCGTGGCGAGCCAACTGTCAAAAACATATCTGTAAAACTACGGCATTTTCCACAACAAACGGTTTAATGATGACATGGCTTCGTGGCAGTGTATTTTTTTAATTAGAGTGCGAGTTTTTTTTTTTTTTTGTTTTTTTAATTTGTGACAATAAGCAACATTTTCCCTGAGCAAGTATGTTTTGATAGAGTGGGCGAATGAGAATGTCTCGACCTCTCCGCGACATTTTACAGCGACAATCCGCTTAGGATACCAAAGGCGGGTGAAGGTGAGGGACAGAGGGGCTCAGCTCCGCAGCCAGGGGAGGCACAGGCCGGCCGCTATGTTGGGTTAGGATCGGCGATCTAATACTGTCTCTCGCCCTCAAAGACGGAGCAGCTGTCGCCAAAGAAACGCCGCCCGCCCAGCTCCACCCGAAGGGACCGACCATCCAGAGCTGTGCAAAATCGCCGTATCTGACCGACCGAGCTGACCGGCGCGTTTTTGAACAGCTCTGGGACCATCATATTTAAAAGAGAGCATATTCAATCTCCGTGGTGTGTTTCAATTCCAAGCAGGGACGCCCGCAGCGGCGGCCCTTGGGGCACCAGACGTCAATATTTAACCGGCAGCAGCGGGCGGGGGGCCTCGACCAGAGCGCCCCGCCCCACCATTGCGCGACACCTTCGCGTCCAGCCCCCCTCCTCAGGGGCACGGCCAGTCCACGTGGTCACCGACCGGGCCGGGCCGCCGCGGCAGCGAAATTGTGTCATTGCACAGGACCGCGTCGAAGGCGGCGGCGGCGGGCGGGCCGGGGGCGTCAAACCAGTCGCGGCCACGACAAGAGAAGAGAGGAGTTCCGCAAGGAACGATAAATGGGGGAACTCCGGCGCCAAAATCAGAGAAGAAAAGATGAGACGCGTACCTCCTCCCGACTGTCGCGGACGCCGCTCCCGGCGCGAAGTAATCCACTAGGCGAAGGGCGGCGGTGGGAGGGAGGAGATCTCCCGTCGAGGGCAAACACAAGTGCACAACACAAGTGCACGACTCAAGTGCACAACACAAGTGCACGACTCAAGTGCACAACACCACCACGGCCGGGGGTCTCGCGGGTCGCGCGGCGGGAGCGGGTCGGCGACGGGCGTGACGCAGCGAACGCTGGTTAGGAAGCGACTGGCTGCCGGGCTGGGCTGGGCCGCGCCGCGGGCCCGCGGGCCGGGCCGGGGGGACCCTGCACCGTGCGCGCGGCCGCGGCAGGGAGGGCAGCAGGGCGGGCCCCAGCCAGCTAGCCCCTCCCCCCCTTCCAAACACACAGCGCGCGAAAACATATCAGTCATACTACTACAACTACTACACGAGCAGGCGAAGCGCTCTCCCTTTATTGCCATGATAAAACTATACCCCCCCCCTCCCCCCGTCTCGTGGAGCTGATTACTTCAAAGTAGCCGAGCCGAGAGCAGAAGAGCATAGCAGCCGAGTGTGGGGTGTGACACGTCAGAGCGGTGGTGGTGCCCGTATGGCCTGTTAAAGCATAATTTTGTCATATTTTCGTCATTTATGATATGACAAACCAATCACCATTAAAACTCAAAATAACGACGAAATAAATGACGAAATAAATTCGTGTGAGTCTATTCGGCTTTGTCGTTATGACGTGTTTGTTTCGTCATTTATTTGTGCTGAAATCGGTCAATTTCACGACAAATTAATGACGAATTAATCTCGAAACAATGACAAGACTTCAAGCGGCACGAAAAAACGATTCGCGCTTCTCGCCTGGAGGTGGAATCGAACCACGAACTTCACCCACCGCAGGCCGGCACTGTATCCACCAGGCCACGGAGGAGACGTGAGAGATGAGGTCGCTCCGAGCACAGAGGTGCAGCTCGTCGCACCCGTGCTGCTGCCGCCACTCGCCGCTCTAGAACAACGGCTGGTCTGGCGACCTTGCCTACCGCACGTCTCCTCCGTGGCCTGGTGGATACTGTGCCGGCCTGCGGTGGGTGAAGTTCGTGGTTCGATTCCACCTCCAGGCGAGAAGCGGGAATCGTTTTTTCGTGCCGCTTGAAATCTTGTCATTGTTTCGAGATTAATTCGTCATTAATTTGTCGTGAAATTGACCGATTTCAGCACAAATAAATGACGAAACAAACACGTCATAACGACAAAGCCGAATAGACTCACACGAATTTATTTCGTCATTTATTTCGTCGTTATTTTGAGTTTTAATGGTGGTTGGTTTGTGATTGGTTTGTCATATCATTAATGACGAAAATATGACAAAATTATGCTTTAACAGGCCATACGGGTGGTGGTGGTGGTGCGAGTCGGAGACCAAAAACAAGCAGGAAAGTCGTCATTATCAGCTCATGAAAATAATAACGCCAAAAAGAAAAGAAAGGTGCGGAACAAACGCCGCATAGCGACGCCTAATTGCAAGTTCGGTATGCGTCGTGCCGTTTGGCGCGCGTCCCGTCCACTTGCACCCGCCACCGTCCATTCATTTGCTCCTCGCCTTGTTCGCACGTGCAGCTGCCGCCGCTGCAGCTGCTGCAGCTGGCCGCTAGTGCTCGCCACAGCTGCAGCTGCCCCTGCCGCTGCAGCCTGATTCGCACTCGCGGCGTCGCTGCTGCTCCCTTGGTCAAGTAGTGGCGCGGGCTGTGTGCTGTGCATTAATTCGGCGAGACAAACTGCAGCGACATGAGGCCATCTCTCTGTCGGCCGCCCCGCCCCGCCCCACCCCACCCCGCGCAGAGCAGCGGCGGCCGCGGCCATTCCAGCAATTGAAACTAATCGCCGCTGGGCTGCGGCATGAGACGACCGCCTCAAGCCGTTCCGTCCGTCCGTCTCAGCAGAGGCGGCGGGCGGACAGAGTGGCCGGCAGGACCGCGACGTGGCGAAAAGAAACTGCGTGGGGCGGGTAACGATGTAAATGTTGTTCAAATGAAACGAACTTGAGGGGGTCGGGAGTGGCAGCGACCGCGAAAGGTTCAACGACCGGCCTGCGGCCCTGCTCTGGACTTGTGGACCGTCGTTTCTCTCTTTGAACTGCAAATTTTCTCCAATCTGATTTATTGAAGTGTCTTTTGTACAGCGCGCCGAGTCCAGGAGACGAAAAGGGCGGTCAACCGGCCCGGCCGGCGGCGGGCACAGGCACAGGGCACGTCCTTGGCCGGCCCTGAAGGGCGTACCAGCAACACGTGTCCCCTGCACGCTCTCCGTCACTCGCCCGGGGGGTGGGTACTGTTTCTCCCTCCCTCTTCATTTCTTTGTCAAACATGCGGCCCGCGCGGTGCGCCCGCAAGCCCGCGCCGGCACGCCCCGCCCCGACGGCCGCCCCACCCCGCCCCGCCCTGATGGAGCGCTTCCGGTTAGCGACCGCGACGCGCGGCGCAGGGCTGTCCTGGGCCCCGCTGCATCACGCACACACGCACACACACGCTCCCGCGCGCCAGCCAATCGCGGACCAGCAGGAAAAGAGGAAAAAAGAAGACGGGAAGGGCGAATACAGGGAAATTGTAAAATCACGAAGGAGTATATACAATCGATTCCCGCCTGGAAAAAAGAGATGTGGGGAAAGATACATCGACGGGGAGGGCGCAAGGGGTGGAGGACTTGCGGGAGGAAGCAGGAGGAGGTAGAGGAGGGGTGGGAAAAGGGGGGGGGGGCAGCAAATTACAAACACGGTACGACTCCTTTCCCACGGATGGCTGGGCCAGCCCCGGGCAACTCACAGGCGAGGGCCAAAAGCTTGCACGAGCTGGCTCGCTGCAGGGCCAGGGCCCACTGGGCCACTGGGCCTCGCTCGGGACACCCCTGGCTAATGGTGATGGTGCTACCGCCCACCCCCCCTCACCTCCCCTCTGCGCACCCGGAGACTAAGAGTCCTGTACAGTATAGGACTACCGGAGACAGACCGCGACTCATGGGGTAGGGCGTCACCGCGAGCATCACCGTCACTCAATGGGAACGAGTGGAGGGAGGGACAGCTGCTCGTAACTTATTGGTCCATAATGATCTTCGCCCTGATTACATACATCATT